TGTCGGGGCTCATCACACTTTAGAACATTGCAAATATAGGATTCACTAAGTAGTTATTGAATGAGGTTTAGTTATGTTGCATCAACTAAATTTAATAGGGAAATCATTTATGTGGAAAATGAATTATCTTTTTGCAAAATTTAAAGAAGAAAGTGACTTTTTAAAGAGAAATATTTTTTGTAGTAGGAAAAGTAGAGTTTTGGTTTTTTTCTGTATGGAGAGTTTTTGCAAATTATAATGTTCAGAGAAATAAAATCTTCTCAATCCTTGCATAGTTTCTCTACCTAGGCTTATTGAATAAAGGATTTCTGGCCTTGTAGGTCAATAGTTGCACTGTCAACTCTAAGGCAGATGGCTGACATCCACGATCTGCTGCAAGGGAGAAAGATGAGTAATCTGTTTCCGAATGACTTTGAGCCTGAACACCTGCTGGAGGGTCAGCTACAAGTTGCTTCTGACTTGACAGCAATGAGAAAAATAAAACATGAACAAAAGTCAGTTAGGCGTCTTCTTAGTATACCAGATCTTTATAGGTAGATGCTTGCTCTTTAACAAAAACAAACAAACAGCCAAACCAAAAAGAATCAAATACACAGCATTTTGTTAGCTAAACAAATATTTCACCATAACATTTCCAAAATCAAACTTAAGATTTTGTCCTTGAACTTGTTCTTCTCATAGTCTTTATCATTTTAGTAAAATGCCTTTCTGTCTTTCCTCTTGGTCCAACACAAAGTGTCCGAAATTTGTCTCCTTATTCAATCCATCAAGAAAATCTACTGGTTCTCCTTTTGAAGTACACTCAGAATCTGACTATGTTTTCCTCCATCTTTGCTACTATGTTCTTGTCAAGTCATTGTCATCTTCCCTTTCTTGAATTTGTCATCTTGCTTCTAAACTTGCCTTCCGTTGTAGTCGCTTATAGCAAAAGTGACTCTTTAAATTAATGACAAGCTTTGTTACTTCTCTGCTGAGAACCTTCTCAAGCCTTTATCATGCTTACAAAGCCCTATGTGAATTGCTAGATGGTTTCCTTTCACTGGCCCATTCCTTTGACCTCATTTCCTTCCACTGCCTCCCTTCCCTATTCAGTTCCATTATAGGGATTTACTTGCTATTCGCCTTATATGCGATACAGACGTCTCATTTGGGACTTTGTACTTGATATTCCTTCTAACTCATGTGCTACTGTTCTCTCACTGTATTGAAGTTTCTGATCAAATTACCAGTGTTGCCTTTTGAAAGGTGTCCCTCTTGATCACAATATCATATAAAACCAAGTTCCAGCTCTATCACTTTCTCCCCTTATCCTTCTGGGGGTTTTGGCCACGGAAGTCTTCATCATAGGACATAGTGACTTTTTGTCTCTCCCTCACCTAGAGCATCAGCTGTATGAGAGTGGAGCTTACATCACTGTCGCAGCCTTGGAACCTGTTCTTCACTTTACACATAGTTGGCTCTCATTCTTAATATGTGCAGAACTAGGGGGGAAATTGCAGAATTAATCAGTAAGCCTTAATACATAAATGGAAAGTGAGACTTGATTTACATTGTAATAATGAAATCGATAGCATAGTCACCTACCTTGTTGTGATACTTGCTATGCTTAAATCCTGATATTTCTAGGTTTTTCATTTAAAATAAATTGCTCGTAGCTGATTAATGTCCAGATACTACTTTTGTCAAAATGAGAGGCCATCTTACCATTTTTAAGATCCTTTCTTTGAGTACCATTACTTTTTTGTTCTTTTGACACAGCCATCTAAGTCTCTATTACATTAGCAGACCTGATACACATGAATGGTGAGAAGAATAGCCTCTTTTCAATCTGTGCTAAGACTTTATCAATATGAAGTGCTTCCCACAGGGCTTTTCCGAAAGAAGCAAACTTTCATCATAATGAAGTCGCAAATTCATTTGTATGTGCCTGTTGTATATTTGAAAGCTATCTTTTGATGTTTTGGTCTGCAATTAGGTTTATTGTTTAAGGTCACTAATATGTAATCCTAACTAGACCAATTTGTCGCAATCTCTTATCTAGCATTACACAAAGATCAATAACTATCTTGTAACAATAACATACCAAAGTCAAATTTGTTCTCAGATAAACATAATCTTTTAATTAATCTATAGCTTTGTTTTTCTAGCCTCAAACCACCCCTTATCTAGAAATTATAGGTTTTAAATTACTGGTAAGCACTTTATTCAGGTGGAAAGATGTAAATTTAGAGAATTTTAATGCTTTAAGTTTTCCATGCACATTTTGAGTGTAAAATATCCATTTTCCCATGTTTATACTCACTCTATGTGTGGTAGTTAGTTGTGCAGTTTGTTGGCTAAGTTTTGTGGCCAAATTTGTCATTGTTATATGACCACAAAATAGATCATGGTGTAATTAAGCTTGAAATTATTTTTCTGAAATGCTATACCCCGTCCATTGAAACTGTATATCTTTTAAAGTGGTGAGATCTATTTCTTCTGTTTTTGCATTTCCCTTGTTACCTTTCACACAAAACACTAACTGAAATAATTACCTAACAAGATTTGAGATGGTACTTTTTATCTAAGAATGTCCAGTGTCTAATGTTAACACTTACTGAAAAAGATCAAAGATTACATTCTTCAGTGTGGATTACATCAACATCAAGAAATCAGAAACTCTCACTGCTCTACCAAAAAGGGAGCATCATAATAGATGAAGATTTTTGTTATCAAAGATTTCATTTTATTTGGATCCATAATAAAAACCTAGTCAAGAATGCAGGAGACGTTGGGGAAATCTGCTTTCAGGAACCTTTTTAAAGTGTTGAAGAGCAAGGATGACAGTTTAAAGACTTAAGGTGCACCTGATTCAAGTTGTGATATTTTTTCCTTTTTTGCTTCATGTACATCTGAAAGTTGAACCACGAGTAAGGAAAATCAATGTAGAATTGATAGTATTGGCTAAAAGTACTGACTATACCTTGGACTTCCTATGGGAAAAGCAAATCTGTCTTAGAGGATATATAACTAGGGTGCTACTTAGAGGCAAAAATGGTGAAACTTCATTACACATATTTAGGGCATATTGTCAGGAGGGGTCAGAAGTTTGGAAAGAACATCATGCTGAGAAAGATAGAGGGTCAACACAAGAGCAGAAGACCGTCCAAGAGATGACTTTGCAGTGACTGTCACAATAGGCTTGAGTATATTGGAAATCGTGAAGATGCCACAGAGTAGGGCATGGTTCTGAATTGTTGTTCACAGGGTTAGTGTGAGTTGTAATCAACTTGATGTTACCTGACTACAGCAGTTATGTTGGCTTATGGAGTTCTGCGGACTTACATCGTAGGGGGTAGCACTGCCAGCAGAAAGGCTGCCAGCAGCTGCACAGTCGAAGGATGACCATTTTCCTCCCCTTGGGATTTACAGCCTTGAAACCTGATGGAGGGTTGCTGTGATTTGGAACTAAATCAAGGGCAAAGAGTTGAAGTTTCTTTGAATATTAACACGAATCAGAACATTATTGTATCACCGGTATTTGTAGATTTCTCCAAGGGATTTGATACCAATAACGAGACCCTTGTTTTAAATTTTTTATTTTATTTTATTAATTTTAATGAACATTTATAGAGATTTTGGATTTCCATTCATTCATTGCACTTTTCTCCCTGCCCACCCCTTCCCCCCAGTTCGCTCTTTGAAAAGTAAAAGAAAAATTCCTTCATTGGTATACAATCCCCCCCAACCCTTTTTTTATAAAGTGTTTAGGGAGCTCTGGTGGCCTAGTGGTAAGAAGCTTTGCTGCAATCCCGATCCTGTGGTTCGAGGTCAGCAGCCACTCTACCTGATAAGGATGGGCAATCTCTTCCCTATTAACTGCCTCTGAAAACCCGCCAGAGGGTCAGCTGTGGGTCGGTTCTGACCCGTTGGTAAACAACAACAACACAACTGATTGTTTACATCATCATCATCATCGTCACAGATACGTGCAAAGCAGGTTAAGATGCAGCAGCATTAGGACAAAACAAAACCAGTATAGTAATGCAACAGTTCAAGATCTTGTTTAAATATTTTAAACAGAATTGAGAATCTTTTCTTCTTAATTACCATATAGTTTGAGTAAAAAGACTTTACCGTTTTGGTAAGGGATAGAAGAGAAAAAACTTGAATTCTGAGTCAGAAAAACTTTTCTGATTGCTGTTTTGGGGTGTTTCTTTTCCCTCTGTGGGGAGTGTAACTCCTATTTATCATATGATCTTCTGAGCCTCAAGCACCAGTAGAGAAGCATCACATCACTAACTAAACATTAGGGAAACACTAGACCCATTCTTAAATTTGTGATATAATTAAATACGCAAACCAGTGCCCGGTAATAGTAAACACTTAATAAAAAATATTTGAAATCCCTTCTTTCTGTGTGCTCTCTCCTCCCTCCCCCTTCACCAGAGAAATGCATAGAAAGTGATTAGAAGAAAACGGAGCCTGGATTATAGTGTCTGTTCTGATTGGGCTTAATCAGAAGTTAAAACTGATGACCTAGACTCAGAGCCTTTTTGTGGCTGCCAACTCTACATTACTTTGCAGACACTGAATTAATAAGTAGAGAGAAGTCAGGACCTTGAATTGACCTATATATAATACCCAGCAGGTGTATGTGGCCTTTCTGTTCTCGGCAAATTGCTCCCCCAGGGGTTGGGAAGAATGAAGAGTGCTCCACTCCCAGCCCTCATTTTAAGTCCCCTTGGAGCCCTCAGAAGATTTACTTAATTCGCTCTTCAGCCTTCAGATCTACCAGTTGAGCCCTAAGTTATGTTAATTTGACAAAAGCAAATCATTATCATTTTAATCATTTTGTGCTTGATGGCTTGCTTTAAAGGTCTTTTTGCTTGTTTGACCACTTGTAATGCTCAGATCATTGTCCTAAGAGTTTTGTCTTTAAAAAAAAAATTTCTTACATTTTGTAACAACTTAGTGTACTACTTTATATCCTAAGATGTGTTGTTTTATTTTTATTTCAGGTGCAAAGATGGTTTGAAAGGATTTACGTTCTCTGCACTGAGGTATGTAAGATATCTATTTCATTTACCCTTCTGCTGAGAGAGCATTTGTACGTTTTCTTTTTCACAAGTAAGGTGTGTAAATAAAGCTAATATTTATTGACTCAATTGTTAAGTCAGAAGTCATTTTAGTAGTCATAAGAGTATTTCACGCATTAGTAGGTAGTTCATAAAAAGGTCTTCTGTCATATTCTACCTTTGAAAACCAGTCAACAACTATTTATTAAGGCTCACTAGGTGCCTGATATTATAAAGTCTTAGAGAAGAAATATAAGAACTCTTTCTTCAAGGGGCTTGTGAAGACACATGAACATTTATTGAAAAATTAAGTACTTAATTATGTGGCTTAGATGATAGACTTTATTCATTATAAGCTTTGGTAGAATCTTTACTCGTCACATCATAATCTAACTCTTAGCCTCTGTTAGTGTAGAAATATTAACTTTGATGTTGTTGTATTTTATAGTTGAAGCATTTTCACATAGATTAGAAAATGCAATTTTTTACAATTGACTTCAAGTCCATGTGACATGGTGAAACTGAAACTTAGAATATTTGACTACTTAAATCTCATGTAAATAGCTACATATTCTGACTCCAGACCAAACATTCTTTCAGTTTATGTTAGGAATTTTTATTTTCTAAAGTGCATATAATAAATAATTAGTGAACATTAGTAGCATAGTGTTTATGGTAGTATACGAGAAAAGCCAAACTCACTGCCTTTCTGAGTTTGTAAATGCTTGTTGGAGAAGACTGTCTTTCTCTCAAGAAGAAGCTGATGGATTTGAACCCTTCACCTTTTGATTAGTAACATAGCACAACACATAAAGCACTGTCAACCTACTGCTGTCAAGTCAGAGCTGACTAAACTGACTCTAGGTTTCCAGAAGTTATAAATCACACAGGAGGAGATTTCCCAGGTTTTCCCTAAGGATCAACTAGGAAATTGAGAGCACTTATCTTCTTATCTTTCATTTGGCTGCACAATCCTTTACCTCTTGGTCACAAGTTTCTGTATGATTATACAAAATTGTTTTGGGGATCAAATGAGTTAATATATGACAAGTATTTATAGCAGTGCCTGGAAAACAGGAAGTGCTTAAGAAGTGTTGGCTATTGGTATCCTTATGGATGGAGAGCCTTAAACTATGCTTGAAAGACAGGTTAGGTAAGTATCAGAGAAAAGGAAGAATATTTTGAGTGTGAAGTGAATAATATTAGCAAAAAAATGTAAGTATTCTAAATGTGAAATGTAAGGTAAAAATTATAAAATCAACTCCAGAAAAATATTTTCTTTGATAGCATAAGGCTAGCTAACAGTAAAAAAACCCACAAAACAGCAAAACCAGGATTTGATAAGACAGGCAGTTGGGTTTTTTAGCAGAGTAAAAGATATGTTTTTGTCAGAATGGTTGATAGTTTCACAAAGATTAGTCTGTCCTCAGTATTTAGGGCACTGAACAAAGAAAAAAGCCAGAAAGTAAAAAGATAAGATAATGAAGACAGGGTGATAAAGGAAGGATTAAAAAGCAAGAGATAAAGTTGAGACTTGTAATGGAGAAAAAAGAGTGATAGTTTCCCTCTTTCTCTACCTCTCTGCACCTCCATTCCAGTAAAGTATCAGCTGCTGAATACCTGAAAGGAGGTGCGATTAACAGATAATCAGGTGGCATGCAAAGAAACTGTCTTAGAAGAGAGCAGATTGAGTTCAAAATTTGATTCTGAGTTTTTCTGGTTGTGGAAATTCTATACTAAGCAACACATTTCTAGCTCATAAAACATTAAAATAATACGCTATTTTCATCACAATATCATATAATTAGAAAGTAACTTTGCTATTGTGATTAATATTGTCTATAAAGATTTTAAGTCTTACTTGAAAGTTTGTTACAAAAAAATTATTTTCCCCAGGGGAAAGAAAGGCTTCACCTTTTATTCTGTGTCCCTTCTTACAGTCTCAGAATCCTTGAAAAATTCAGTGTTTTTTCTCTACTTTAAGTCCACTTGTGATAAAAGATTGTTCTAGACTATGCTACTTGCATTTAAATTTTTCTCTGATTTATAGCAAAAATGTGTATCATTCTAGCTAGCACTCTTGTTGTTCGAGAAAGAAGATTGTTATTTATTGTCATGTATTTATATTTTACATCTTCCTTTGACCAAAACACTGCATCAAGTCATTTCAGACCCCTAGTGACCCTCCATCATGTTTCTAAGCTATCAATCTTTATGAGAGGTGCACCAAGCCTTGTTCACCATAGCTTCAAACATAGAAGTATGCATATGTATATGTGTGTGTGTGTGTGTGTATGTATGGGTGTGGGTGTGTGCGTGTGCACGTATAACTTGACTGTGGAGAACTGAATCTTTAGTATCAGTTCTGGCTTCTACCCTATTCTGTAGAGTATAAGTAGGAATCAATCAAGGCAGAGGGTATAAACTAGTAAAAATTTCCTAGGAAGAGCAAATAGTTAACAACTAGCCGAAATGGGTACTTGGAAACGACTCAATGATGCCTGGGAAGACCGAGTTGAGTATTTGCCTCTGAAAGACGACAGTCTTGAAAACTCTGGAGTAGTTTACTCAGTACAGAAGGAGATTGCCATGCGCTAGAATCAATTTGAAGGCTGGTAACTGATGGCAGATTTCAAGAATATTGCACTGATCACAAGGTGGCACTTTTCCGCCAGCTCAAATCCACCAGCCGATCCATAGGAGGAACCTGTACAGTTTGTGGTGTAATTTCCAGCTTCCAGAGACCCAAGGAGGGTCAGCGCTGACTGGATCCTCAATGACAATGAGAGGTTTTTGATGGTAGTTATTTTTTTAAAAATTCATAGTTTTATCCTTATTACATATAAAGTTCTTAACCTTTCCATGCACATCCTAAATCACGAAACAAATTATGAACTGAAAAAATGCCCAGCTGCCATGTGGTGACAAAGAATCCCATTACAGACTCTCTTAAACTTGGCAGGCTGTGCATTTTTGAAACCAGATTCACTTGCAGTTGTTCATGTTAACAGCTTTTTTCTTTCTTTCCACTGTCAAAATTTTCATATTACACTTGCCACAAATCCTATGGTCCAGTATGTGATGTTATTTATTTGTATTTTATGTTTCCTCAAAGCTCAAAAAGTAGAATTTCCTTAGGAAAGGTGAGTTATTTTTTATGAGTTAAAAAAGAAAAGTTACTCTTTTCACTTTTCTACAGTGAAAAGTGAAATCAGTAAAGGTACTACTCGAGTAATAACTAAAGGTAGTAATGTTTTCTTTGTTTCGTCTTTAGAAAAGTAGACGTGGAAAAATATAGTTGTGCTTTGATGAAAAGGACTGGTGTCTTGTCCTAGATAAATGTTGTTTTGTTTTTGTTTTGTTTGGGTTTTTTTTTCCCCTAAGAGAAGTTGGTAGAGTGGAGTGATACTAGGGTTATGAGTTTTCTCATGACATTATCTATGGATACATGTAACCATAACTGTCCTCCAGTTCTTTGTTTTTAAATTCTCCCATTTTTCTGTGTCTGAATACATGATATTATTCACTGTAGCTGTGTTAGAATTCAAAACAGCACACAGTGTAAAATTAGTGGGGTGGGGGGAAGGAGAAATTAATTCATTTGTAGTTATAAGTAAAACTTAGTGGGGGGGGGAAACTCATTCAAATGTAATTATAAGCAAAAAAACCCAACCAACCCAAGCTAGTAATCGACTTTTTTTTATTTGAAGAAGTCTAAATATGAAATATATCAATAAAGTGGTAGCCTAAACTTTCTTTTCATAAAAGTGCTGTACAACTCAAAGGCAGGCAGTTCAAATCCACCAGCTTCTCCAAGGGAAAAAAATAGAGCAGTCTCGACTCATCAGTTTGTAGCCTTGAAAACCCACTGGAAGGTCAGCTGTGAGTCAGTTCTGACTCAACAGCAGTGAGTGAGTGAGTGATATTTTGCTTGATTAATAAATTTTAAAATTATCATATTGTTAAACAGATGACTGTTCATATTTTTTAACTATTCAGATTTCTGAAAGCCTATTTGTTTTTCTTCACAGGATAATTCAATTTTATATATGTTCTAAAAAAATACTTCAAGTGGTGATTTTTCTCCAGAATGTATTTGTCTATAAGTGATTTTTTTCCTCCCTAATGGTGGCTAATGCCTCACATTGTGTTTTTTTCTTTAGATTCATTGTAGGGAAGGAAGAAATTCCCATACACTCTTATTCACCAGAGGCCGCATATGCAAAAGTGGAACAAAAGAGTGAGAAACAGGAGGCAAAACCAAAAAGAAAGAATATAATTGCTCTAGTGAAGAAACTTGTGGATTCAGTGTGAGTTCTTTATGTTGGTGTTTTACCAGTTTGTCACTGTTTTCCATATTTGTTCTGTGCCAACGTGTTTTGTGTTCTGTTTAGGTAATGATACTATCTTTCCACCAAAAACTATGAAAAAGTACTATAGAACATCATATTCCTTTAAAATAGATTTGCTTGAAATGAAAATATTTTTTTTCTTTTTCAAGCTAGCCAGAGTTCTAGGTGGCTAGAGTGAAGAACATGAAACACGGGTTGTTGCTTTGTTTTTCTGACCATCGACTCAGAACCAACCCATAGCTGAAGCTCCAGCAGATTTTCAGAGGCAGTAAATTGCACAGGAGGAGACTGCCTATCTTTCTCCCGCGGGTCAGCTAGTGGATTCAAACCGTGTACCTTAAGGTTGGCTGCCTATTTCTTACTACTAAGCCACCAGAGCTCCCTCAGGAACAAGTGAATGTATAAATTGAATATGCCGATTTTGAGATGGAGAAAGAAAAGCTCGAGAGATTGAATGTAAGAAGATAAGAGAACAATAAGGTGTAAGCTTCAAGTAAAAAAAATATTTGCAAGAGTGCAAATTTTGAGGGCTTTGGAAGTAAAAGAAAATAATTTACTATATATATTACACAAAAAAAGTTTTTGTATTTTATAGAAATAAATGTTTAATTATGTTATTTTGTATAGTCACTGAAATAAGTGTAATGTTTTAAAATTAGGCACTAGTTAGTAAAAGTGATTTTGTTAGGGATATAGAGATAAGGGTTCAATTATAGGTGGCTCATGCTCTGTGAGAAATCAGGAGACTTCTGTTTGACAGTTTGCCTGCCCCTTCCAACATTTTTTACTTCAGGCAATTCATTTAATCTCAAAGGTTTCATCTCTTAACTAAGATTAATAATTTTTGTTAAAGATTTTTGTGAGCATCAAATGAGATAAGACATGGAAATTGATGAATACATGAGTACTCAATTTTTTATAGAATCTATAAGGACTTTATTTTCATCTTAGTATAAACATGCATGGAAGGTGAAAGGAAGGAGTAAAAAACATAGGAATAATTGTGATGTGACATTAAATCAAGTTCATAAAGCATTATGGGTTGATTCAGTGGGGGGAAAGGAGAGGACCGTTTTCATGAATGAAAATGAGGTCAACAAGAATCAGAAGGAAATGCAGATGCCTCAAGTTTCAGAGCGGATCAGGCCACAACATAGATAGTCAGAGTAGCTGTTGTGGGTCCATGGATATGAAAGCAAGTCTGCATAATACAGAAGCAAAATAAATAATAGAAGGAAAATAATCCATCTGGGTACTTAAATAATTTTAATACAAGACTATGGAAAAGTTAAATAGCTAAATAGTTCAATTGGTAAAGGAATTTGACTTCCTTAACAGGTTGAGGCTCATAAAAACTCGTAGCAATCAAGTCAGAACCAACTCATGTTGACCATCCAGCAGATTTTCCAAAGCTGTGTATTACGTGGAAAAGGATTCCCCATCTTTCTTTCACAGAGCTGCTGGTGGATTTGAACTGCTGGAGAGGCACAGCCTGTAGGTTAATAATGCAATTCCCTATAGACCATTCACCAAGAGACAGTGCCATAATTTCTGAAGTTTTGGTAACCATGCCTGAGAAATATCTTTGAAGAAAACACTTAGATGTATGAAGAGCAGTGGCTTACATGAAGCAGTCCTCATCTCAGCTCTCCACTCAACAAATTGACCTGACTGGATATGTCTTATCATTTCTGTTCTTCATCTGTGAAGAATTGAGTTTGAAAAAGGCCTTGCTAAAGACGATTGCAAATGGGATTGGAGAAGTGCTGAGCCAAATCTCAAGTTATTGTTATAAGCAGGAAATGGTAAATATATTGCAGCCATGAAAAAGCAAATTACAGTCTAAAAAGAGCTTATAAAGACTGCTTATTTTGGAAATTGAGTCCTTGAAAGAGAAAGGGGAAGAACTAAACTCTTGGTAATTTCTCCTCGCTATCAACTTCTCAGCAGTTTAACTGTTTTTTTTTTTTTTTTAAACTTTCAATGTTTTATTTTTGACTGCAGCTGTTTACAGAAATATAGTTGCGAGTATACAAATGTTCCAATAGAAGCAAAATATCTTTTTAATATTTAACAAGTTATCACAGACAGCTAAAAACATAGATGCAAATAAAATTCCCCCAGAGAACAAACTGAAAACATCTTGTATCAGTGCTCTGAAGTCCCAGTTTAACTGTTTTTAATGTGGTGTTATGTGCCATCGAATCGGAGCCTACTCATGACCCACTCTGTACTGACTGAGATTTCAGAAGCTGTAAGTTGCAGTGGAGGAGATTGTCCAACATTCTACCATGGAGTCAGAAGATTCAAACATGGAGTCCATCCTACCAAATAATTGAAACAAGTATGTCTGGAACAGTGGTCTTCCTAGCAGAAATATGTATTAAACAGTAGGAGAGTAAGTGGTTTATGTTAAAATGTACCTGTCTTTGGAATTCTTTTTTTTCTTTTCTTTTGAATTCTTAAATTATCATTTTCTATATTTGTTTAAAGGAACTCTGATTACTTAGTACCAAGAAGTTGCACTGCCAACCCAAAGGCACGTGGTTTGAATGCACCAGCTGCTCCACAGAAGGAAGATCTTCAGTCTTCCCTGTGATTTATTGTTCCTGAAAACCTACTGGAGGGTCAGCTATGTGTCAGTGCTGATCCAACAGTACATAACAATAATATTTTTAAAGAGACTTTTGAGTTCTAATACTACATTGTGTTTATTTTCCATATGTTTTCCCTCAAATATAATGAAGTATACATTCCTGTAACCTGATTTTTACTCAAGTCCTGATTTTGTGTATGATTTATGACAGTAACATTAACTAGAGCTTTAAAGCTTCCAAAAACTTTGGCAGAGTATATAGTTAACATGTTACGTTGTCATTAGGTGCTGTTGAGTTGAGTACGACTCATAGCAACCCCATGAACAAAAGATCTGAATCCAGCTAATTAGATAGAGATAGAGAGATAGATATATATAGATAGATAGAGTGGATAAATATAGTGGAGATATATAGTGGAGATAGATATATATGTATATAGTGGAGATATATATGTATATAATGGAGATATATGTATATAATGGGTGTATATATGTGGTGGATATATATAGTGGATACATATATAGTGGATATATGTGTGTGTATATAGTGGAGATATATATATACACACACACACACACACACACACACACATATAGTGGATATATATGCTGATATATATAGTGGCGATATATATATAGTGGAGAGAGAGATATAGTGGAGATATATATATGTGGAGACATATATAGTGGAGATATATATAGTGGAGAGAGATATATACACAGTGGAGATATATATGAGAGAGATATAGTAGAGAGATATATGTAGTAGAGATATATATATATTAGACAGATATATATATA